CCGGCGACTGATGTGCCTCGCCTGGGAAGAGAGCAATGATGGTGCCAACTTGGGCCAGTGAAGCAACGTCCTCCACAACTAGACTGAAGAAAAAAACGACAGCAACTTGTCTGTTCCCCTTCCCCCAATTCCCCAGCACTGTTCCCATCCCCCAATTCCCAATACAAATCTTAAGAAAAAAAAGAATGTGTAGTGTAAATACTGTGTTCTCAAGTCTCTTAAAGTAACTCTTTTCACTAGGTGGATATGTCACCAACCAAAGATGTTCATTCATTTGAGTTTGTTTTCAATTTTTAGGGATTATTTTGATTTTTAAAAATATATAAGGTATTTATATGTCCCCAAAGTCAAAACTGTATCATGCATTCTATTCTGAGAAGCCCCAATTTCACATTGTTAGCCTTTCGCTCTGTCCCTTCCCTCCTCTGCAGGGTTTTGGTTATCCCCTTGATGTTCTTTCTAACAAATATGAGCAAATTTATATGCACATATTCATGTCTCTCTACCTTTCTTATTGCAGTGAGTATATCATGCACACTGTTTTGCATCTCAGTTTTTTCCACTTTGTCATGGACCCTACTGCTCCCTTAGTGTCTGTTCATTATTTCCTCTTACCTCTCCACTGTGTGATTGGACCCTGCTGTATTGAGCCATCCAAAACAACAGCAATGATACTAATAGCAAATACAAACATACCTTGTTTTATTGTGCTTCATTTTATTGCACTTTGCAGACATTGCATTTTCATCAACATTGAGGCAAGACCCTTCACCAGGGAAAAGACCACAACTTACTAAAGGCTCAGATGATGGTTAGCAATTTTTGGCAATAAAGTATTTTTTTTATTAAGGTATGTACATTGTTCTTTTAGACATAATGTTATTGTACACTTAATAGACTACAATATAGTGTAAATTTTCATATGAACTGGGATACTACAAAATTCATGTTACTCCCTTTATTTTCATATTTGCTTTATTGTAGTGGTCAGGAACTGAACCTGCAATGTCTGTGAGGCATGCCTATAGTTACTGAACACTCTCTGTGGGCTAGTCACAGTTCCTAAAGCTTTACTGACATTATCTCAACTAACTGCACAACATTTCTATTAGGTAGGTTATGCTATTATTATCAACCCCCATTTTACAGATAAGGAAACTGAGGCCAATGAAGAGAGCAAGAAGTGCCCCACAGCACCTATGGCCTGTGGTTAGTCAGGCTTCAGACGCAGGACAGTCTGACCAACGCTCCATGCCTCTGCTGTGAGGGTAAATTTTGGATTTCCCCACTGAGCAGATAAAAGATTCATATTTATGTCTCCACTTGATTGCTGAGGGCCTTCCTGGCACTCCTGTAATGGCAGCATGCGCTGCTCTATATTCAGTAGAAGTGTGTTTTCTCTTTTCCTGGCTGCCTGATGGGCCTGACACCCTGCCCTTGGAAGGCTCCAGAAGTCAATAGGGAGGCTAAGTAAGCCCGGAACCTGATGTTCAGGAGCCCAGCTCGTGCAGCAACCAAGTTCCCAAGTGCCAAGGATAAAACCAACATGACCCAGGAGCCAGAGTGCATAACCTGAAGGAAGAAATTGCAGTTCCATTAAGGGCTGGCCTCACTGCAACTCCTGGCTGCAGCAGGAAGCTTAGGACAAAAATGTAATCCCTAATGAGAGCGGAAGTGCAGCCTCCTGTTTGAGTCCTAACAAACCTTTCTCCTCATCAACCCTTACTCCATTGGCCAGCATCTCCTTGGGCCAATTGATTCCACACTATAAGTCATCTACAGTTCTTTTTCCACCATCACCTCATTTACTAAAAACCCAATTTCCTCCCCCATCTTGGGCCTCCCTGCCACTAGGTCTGTGTGCTTCTCACTGCTATAGCCCTTCTGTCTTGACCCCGCCTTCACAATGCCCAGTTCTCTAATCCTAGCTCCAGGGGTGTGAAGAACCCTGTGGTGACCACCCAGAGACTCACCCTCAGGAGTGAATGCTGCTGATAGTGCAGCTGAAAGGCGGGATTCAGCTACCAGCTACTAAGAGTCACTTTGGCCTCGGCTTTGGTCATCCTCTCTTCCAGGGACAGCCCCATCTGGTGACTGACTGACTTGGCCGTATGAAAGCTTGGCCCCCTCACCATGCCCAGGACAACTCTGAGGGCCGTCCAAGCCACCGAACTCAGCACAGGACGCCTGAGGCACCATGGAGACTGCATGGTCTTTCAGCTTTTCCTCTGCCTGCTCCTTCCTCTCCCTCACATCAACCACACTTACAGCCTGCCTTCCAGAGAACCCACCTTGTCAACGAATGGCCTCTTCTGGACCCTCTTCTTAATCCCTTCTGAAATCAGACACTTTTTAATCCCTTCTGAAATCAGGACACCCATCCTGTGTTCTCTTTGCATCTAACATTACTTGGCCACCTCAGCCACTCCCAGGGCTCACACTGCTTTACCCTCACAATAACTACAGAGCTACACCTCCACTGTGGACTGTTTCCTGAGCTCCTAACCTCCTCCAGTCTCCTGCTGCTTGTCTTCTGTTTGGGCTGTCATACCACATACTTAGCCTCAAATTAAATACTAAATTCATCTCCCACCCGCAATGGCCCCCAATACCACTAGGGTATTACTTTCATCCATTTACCTAACTAACTAACATGTATTAAAAAACTTCTACCTGGTAGTGATAATAAAAATAACTTTTGGAAGGAGAGTGGCCTGGAGACTAAGCTCTATAAAAGCTCTCGAACAAGATCTGATGAGCTTCCGGGTTAGTAAACATGCTGGGAGGGTAGCGCATCCCAGTATCACAGGGATGGAATCAACTGCCCTCAGGACACTTCCAGACCTCACCCTATGTCCCTCTTCATCTGGCTGTTCATCTACATCCTTTATAACAAACTGGTAAACATAAGTGTTTCTCCACGTTCGGTGAGCCGCTCTAGCAAATTAATTAAACTGGAGGAGGGAGAGGGAACATCTGACTTACAGCCATTTGGTCAGAAGCACAGATGACAACCTGGACTTGTGATTGGCATCTGAAGTGGGAGTGGCCTTGTGGGACTGAGCTCTTCACCTATGGGTCTGATGCTATCTCCAGGTGGATAGTGTCAGAATTGAATTAAACTTGAGGGACAACCAGTCAGTGTCTGATGGAAATTGGAAAATTGCTTGGTGGTGTTGGAAAACACATCAGACTCTCCAGGCCTTAGTTTTTCACCCAGAAACAATAGTGCCTATTACCCAGGGCTGCTGTGAACGACTGATGGAGACTGATTGGTGTTATTATCTCTCTGTTTTAATAACAGCTTTATTGAGCTATAATTCACATACTATACAATTCACCCATTTAAAGTATACAGTTCAATTGTTTTTACTATATTCAGAGTTGGGCCACCATTCCCACAATCATTTTTTTTGAACATTTTCATCACCCCCAAAAGAAATCCCATATCCTTTGACTATCACCCGCCCTCCCTACCCCAGTCCTAGGCCACCACAAATTTACTTTCTGTCTGTATGAATTTGCCTATTATGGACATTCCACATAAATGGAATCATACAATATGTGGTCTTTTGTGCCTGGCTTCTTTCACTTAACGTACTTTTAATTTTTTATTTTTTTTTAAAGATTTTGTTGGGGAATTGGGGAAGGGGAACAGACACGTTGCTGTCCTTTTGTTCTTCAGTCTAGTTGTGGAGGACACTGCTTCACTGGCCCATGTTGGTATTATGATCATTGTGCTCTTCCCGGCTGAAGCAGTCGTCACCGGCCATTGGACAGCCGCTAACAGTGACTCATGGCAGCTCACAGCAGCTCTCACTGGCTGCTCATGCTGGCTGCTGGCCACTCACGGTAGTTCACAGCAGCCCACTGCAGCAGGGGCTGCAGCCTACGCCATCGCCAGCCACTCAAGGCAGCCCAGCTCCAGGTCAAGCTGTTGTTCACCATCTTAGCTGTAGATGGTGCAGCGTCACTGGCCCATGTGGGAACCGAACCAGCGGCCCTACTGCTCAGAGTTCATGCTCCCAAGCCAACTCTTAACCAACTGAGCCACTCAGCTGGTCCCTTAATTTTTTTTACTTGGATAATAGTGTGTGTTTTATTCAGGACCCATCAGCTCCAAGTCCAGTTGCCATTTTCAATCTAGTTACAGGGGGGTGCAGCCTACTATCTCATGAGGAAATCGAACCAGCAACCCTGCTGTTATGAGCACTGCACTCTGACCAACTGAGCCCACTGGCAGTCTAACGGCAGCTCAGCTCAAGTCATTGTCTTCAATCCAGTTGTGGAGGGCACACCTCACTGGCCTATGTGGGAATCGAACCGGCAACCTTGTTGTTCAGAGCACACACTCTAACCAACTGAGCCACCCAGCCGCCCCCTTTAACATACTAGTTTTAAGTTTCATCCACATTGTAGCATATATTGGTACTTTATTTCTTTTTATTGCTGAATAATTTTCCACTATATGGATATACCATATTTTATTTATCCATTCATCAGTTAATAGACATTTGGTGTTTCCACTTTTGGGCTATTATGAATAATGCTGTTGTGATCATCTATGTACAAGTTATTTTTGTGTGGACATATTTTCATTTTTCTTAAATATATGTCTAGGAGTAGAGTTGCTGGGCATATGGTAACTCTATGTTTATGTTTTTGAGAAGCTGCCAGACTGTTTTCCAAAGTGGCTGCAATATTTTACATTCCCTTCAGCAGTGTATGAGAGTTCTAATTTCTTCACATCTTCACCAACACTTATTATTTTCAGAGCCATTTTGGTGGGTGTGAAGTAGTATCTCATTTCGACTTTGATTTGCATTTCCCTGGTGGCTAATAATATTAGTGTCCCCTAGTCTCACATTTCATGCATCTTTCTTCTTCCCAGAAAATCATTCCCTTTCTGTATTTCCTGAAGAGCTGTTGAACAGAAATGTCTATGAGTTAACTGTGGCTTATGGATATATTCATTACCTTGATTGTTGTGATGGTTTCATGAGGTATTCACATGTCAAAACTCATCAAATTGTATACTTTAAATATGTGCAGTTAATTATATATCAATTATAACTTAAGAATAAAGCTGTCAAAACAAAGATGTATTCCTACTCCCCTCAAAAAAGTGATACTGATGCATGCCAGGTGCCTGGAACAATTATAGCTCCTCTTTCTAAAAAGTTTTTGGACACTATTTTTGTCTGAGAGCCTTTTTTGCCCATGTGTCTTAATATTATAGTGTCTCAAAATTCTTCGGGGAATAAGCATGTTGTGAGAGCAGAATGTATGCTGGACTTCTGAGAGGGTGAGGAGCCCTTTGGAGGATGAGGAGGGTAGAAGGCATGCCAGTGTGGAGGGGTAAGAGGTGTCCAATACACATGCTTTTTGTAGTGTCCTTTGACCCAGGAGAGCCCAGGCGGCCACTCAGAATGATCCTACACTTTAGGCCATTAACCCAGGGCCCCTGGAGCAGCTCCCAGTCCAAGCTCTTTACATTCAAATAAACCCTACACTCTCAGGATAACACATTATCTAAACCTGGAAATAAATCTCTGTCCGTAACATTTATAAACAATTGGAAGTTTTAGTAATATCATTTATTTAGCCTCCCTGAGCCTGTTGCCTCATCTATAAAATGTCACAATAAAGTCTGCCCTGGTTTTTCACAGAGAAATTTTAAGAACCAAATAAAGATCATTTGAGACAAAATATCTGTAAGACATAAAGTGCTATATAATCAGGCCTGTGGGGATGGGGGAGGGGGACAGAGGAGAACCGAGCAGGAAGGAAAAGGGGA